AGAGTTTACGTGCCTCAACGGAAAAATCCTCCACTCTCCCAGTTGCTTATAATGTTCTGCAAGGTGCAATATTTCCCCATTTTTTCCTTTTCAATGTATGTCAAACCATTTCCCATTCCTCCTGCATTCATTGGCTGTAAATACGCATATGACGCTTGAGGTTTCAAAGCATCCATCCCTGAAAGAGGTTCCAGCTATTCAAATCAAGCTAAACGACGTTGTTGCTTGGTCCTTGTCCCGTTTCCTCTCATTTAATGCCTCTTAATGTCAGGATATTTTCCCTCTTGGCCGATGTACCATATTTAGCCCTCACAGACAAGTTCCCCATCCTCTCTGCCAATCATGAACCCGTACCGAAATCAACAATAGTAAAATACTTTGGTGTCAATTTAGCTTGATCACTGCATGTTCAAAACGCATTTCACGGTTAATACTAACTAGATTTCTTGATTCGTTTCATTGTCTATCTTGTTCATTGTTACACATTCTGCAAAGTTAGAAAGCTTTCATATTTCTCACTCCGATTGAGAATACTTTTCGTTCCACATAAGCTGATTGTTAGGTTTGTGTATGCATGCGTGCTACCTCATTGGTTGTACTGCTCCCCAGTGATTTTCCCGGAATTTCGAAGGAAGACTATTTATTTATATTTACAGGAGAGATCTCTGAAACACATCTCCAAATGTGGTGGCACTGTCAGGGATAAACTCGTTGATTCTACCATAAACAGACACCGACAAGGATGTGAAAATTTCACTACCTAAGTGCTCTCAGACACTCACCACCCATTACACAACTTTTTTTTTCAAAAGCTGTATCTACATCATCCACACGCTCAAGATTTAGACTCTGATTTGCACATACCTCTTCTGGTTGTAGTTCCGTTTTACCATATCTACTACTTATTGACAAGAAGAAAACGTCCACAGAATTGTTCAATTGATTGCTTCACTGACAAACGCGATCTACTGCTTGCAGTTTTGTGTGATTTTGTCAATTTGAATCCACAAATATGGTGTAAATGCTGAAAATTCACCCATCCGGACACAGAGCATCTAATGACTTGAACTTGACTTATTTACCTTACCCTTTGAGATTTGGGCGTAGCCATAGCCAATAGATAAAGGCGTCAAGTATAACGGAACACAAATTTCACTTTCCAATTATCAGTGACCTAAAAAAATCCCTTCCTCTTGATGCCAAATCCGACACAGTGCACAAATCCCTTAAACACCAGCTCATCAAGTCCGAGAAACGACCGCGCGAAACGGTGGATAGGAAAGTGTCAGAAGATGGAGAATGCTACTGCGGCAGGTAATAGTCGCAATCTTTTCCGTCTAATTAGGAATACGGGCCCCAGGAAAATAGGCGAAACTGAGGTAATGAAGGAATCCGATGGTACAATGATTCACCATCAGAAAAGCCGTTTTGAACGATGGGCTGAACACTTCGAGGCTCAGTTCAACTGGCCCCCATCGACCCCTCACCTATCGCCTCGCCCCCCCCCCACTTCGATTGGGCAAATACTACCAGTTTATTCCAGTCCTCCATCTGAAATGGAAGGTTCCCGGGAAGATATCTCAAAGGTCTCTGGCCCAAATGGACTGTTCTCATCGGCCTTTAAGGATGAAGCCTCAGGTTAATCTTGTAATTGACGAAACTCTTAGGTTCAATATGGGAAAAGGAAAAGAATACAACCAAATCGTGTGAATCGTTGATCATACCGGTTTACAAGAAAGGTGAAAACTACAGAGAAATTAGTTTAATCAACAGTGCTTTTAAACTTCTCGCTGGCATCATACTCCGTTGACTGTATGCCGCACGTGAACGGTGCATGCATGAGAACCAGGCTGGTTTTAGACCTGGTCGAGGTTGTATCGACCACATCTACACTCTGCGCCAAGTTCTCGAACATCATCATTCTTTTCGTAGACCAACGATCTCTGTATTTTTCCATCTGAAAGCGGCTTTCAACTCAGTCGACCGCTCCAAACTCTGGTGCTGCTTTGCCCTGAAGGGCGTATCCGAGAAGTTTATTTCAGTACTACAATCCCTCTACAATAATAACCGAAGCCGGTTCCGAGCTCACGGCACTTTCTCACCCGAGTTCACCACGGAAAATAGTGTTCAACATGGTTGCTCTCTTTCCGTTTCTATTCAAGTTTGTTATAGATTTGATTTTTGAAACAGCCCTATCCTCCTGCTAGAATAGAGGTATCGATTTACTCCCGGGTGACAGACTGTCTGATCTGGAGTATGCAGACGACATTGTGCTGCGTAGCCATGTTCGGTATGCGTTTTGCACCTTCAAAGTGTAAAATGTTACTAGAAGATTGGGTTGGTTGAGCACCCAACCTCACTAACTGGGGAAGTAATAGAGTGGATAAGTTTTGTTATCTGGGCAGCTACATCTCACCCAGTGGACGCATCACGGATCAAGTGTCAGCTCGCATACAGAAGACTCGGTTGGCATTTGCCAAATTGAGACATCTGTGGCGTCGTCAAGACATCCGGTTGTCGGTGAAGGGTCGAGTGTATGCCACGGCAGTTCGGCTATACGGTGCAGAAACTTGGCCATTAAGGAACAGAATAGACTGTCGGTGTTTGAACACCGCCAAGACCTCCAAGTTGACTTCACAAGTCAGCCGAGTATGCAATTAACGTTTGGTATACTTAAGAACTTCCACAACGTATTATACCCAAACCTGAACTTTAACGGAGTTGATCTATCCTAGTTGAAATAAGGTGAAACGCCTCAACAGAAAACTATCCGGGTATTTTCTATTACATTGTCTTTATGTGATTAACAGTACGATAGGTAAACTTCGGTCACTATGACCCGCTATATTTTTTGGTAGTCAACGCCCTTAACCCTGGAACTTTAAGTGACCCCAGGAGGAACCAGCAGTACGATGATTCACTCATTAAAAAACAAGAACACTAGTAAAAGATTGGGAAGAGTCAACTCGTTATCAATGAAGACTAATCCCTAGAATAATTTCAAAGACGTATTACACAAGCAAATCCGCGAGCGTTTCTATCTTCCTATTTTTGCAGCACATTTTTATTTCCTTGAACGTGCACATCATTTTTGATTCGTGCAAGAATTCCATAGGCAAACTGAACAGAAGTAAAAACGTGTCAATATCAGAAAGTTCCCAATATCACGATTTGTTGAAGGTTTCTTCTAACTCTTGGCTTTAAACTTGAACTGGATAGGGCGTGGTATCTGTTATTCGCGAATCTGATTTAGCGATCAGGGCGCATTGTATTTTGCTGATGAAATGCACGTAACAGGTAAGCACCGCCTCTGTCCATTGCACCTTCCAGATATTACTCCCTTTGTACGGTGTCCGAAAAAACATCACACGCGCAGGCGAGATGGTCTACGGACGAAACCAGCCATTACCAGGACAACCGGTAGGCGAATGCCTATCCACGTCCTATGGTTTGAATCTTACCTCAACAGATGATGTGGAGACGAGGCGTGAAGAAATACAGAGTAGAGTAGGGGTCTCGCGCCTTCCAGGTCGGGGTGCGAAAGACTACCCAACCGGTTGGTTGGAGACATTGAAGAATATGGCAGCGAACCGACAGCAGTGGCATTCTTGTTGTCATTTTTTACCAGTTCAGAATGTTTCAAACGGTATGTATGCAGAGTTCGACTGCGTACTCTGTGTTGACCGCAGAGGTTCACCTTCTTCCCCCTCCCTCGAAATAGGTTCAATTCCCGTCCACCTTAAATTTTACCGTTAACTTTGTGTGCATTGCGAGTTTGGCAGCGATTAGTGGAGTTCGACTCACTGTACTTCACTGTACAACAATGATGACGATGGCAAAAAGAGGACCAAATAAAGAATGAGTCTTCGCAAAGATCAACCGGAAGGTAAATCACACTTTGCAGCTGTCATGTTAATTTAACTACAACAGGATCCACTGAAGCTAGGCACTGATTTCAGGTTTTACAATCACTATTATTAAGACTTAGTTCCTGAAATATGGTACCCATGTTCACTCCACACCCGGAATAATATTTTAAAAGGGTTTCACGTCCTTCAAGCAAAATAGGATTGTTGATAACTTGTTTGTGATTATCAAGCATTATTTATCAATGAAAATCTCACATGCGCGATGGAAAAACACGAAAGTAAGAGACAGACAAACATGCAGAATTCGACAAAATGGAATGGGATCAGCAAAAATTGCATACTATACAAAAGATAACAAAAATGCAGTTATTTTCGACGTTCCGTATAGCGATCTGGGAAAGCGAAACTGAAAGATCCTTTGGCAGGCTTAAACGATAACAGCCCGACATTAGGAATCGAATTCCAATACAACTTCAAAGTCACGTTCTTGTTCCCTCGCAAACCATGTCCGTCATCCCAAAAGTAATACTTGGAATTCATATTGCGATACACCAAAGAAGCTTTTGATCCCCTTTTGATAATTTTATCCCACAGGACGACCTGATTAACCTCATTATCGGGAGTTTTGTACTCGGCAGCCAGGTAGATGAAAAGTTGCTTGACATTCCAATTGAACAGGTGATCCAAATGTGACTAAAAAATAATCAGACAAGTTATTTTTACTCACTTCCAAGTCAATAGTTATTAACCCAAGATCATTATTAGCATTGTAAGTTTGAGAAAAATCGTTGGCGCTGTCAACGGCTACTCGCCCGACACCAAGCTTCACCGAAGTCGATGGATTATCGAACGCAGTCGATAAAAAGCAAAGGAACATTATAGCCGATAAAATCGTCATGGTCAATGTCAACAGCGCACTGCATCTCGTTAATACGGAATACATTCTCACTAACGACACGTAGAAAATCACTCCAAATAACGCGCTCCACTGAAGGTCAGTCAGGACAGGACAGATCACAGGACTTGCGGCGGAGCCAGAAGCAGTCCAGTTTCTTGCACCAATGAGCTTGGGAGCACCACGGCGCTGCGACAATTGTATTATTTCGTTCACGTAGACGTGGATGGGTGCGGTTCTGGAAAAGGAAAACGCACTTCTGATGGTTCCTTGGAGTNTCTGAGGATTTACCAGGATCAAAGCAACAGCTCGCAACCAACCGCTCCGAGCTACCCAGAGTAAAAGGTGTGTTGGGAGAAGAAGTATGTCCTCAAAGTGGTGGTGCTGTATGTTGAGAAGTTTCAGTAAAATGTAGTGCACAGTGAATAAAAA